GTTCTCTGATTGGCCCGGCTAAGAATCTGCCAGCGAAATCCTTGTCCATAGGAGAAATCCCAGAAGGAGCAGAGAAGGGAAACTAGAATTGAGCAGAGCTGCGTAGGAAGGCAAGAGCCAGGCTAAATAATCAAAGGAGTTCACGGCAAGAGGTTTCATGCAACTAAGTACAAATACTTTGTTATCTTACTTAAGTAGAAATTTTGGTTATTTATACTTTACTGATGTAACTATTTTTCAGCCTTTTACTTCAACTTCTTACATTTTCAAACCATTATCTTTATTTTCTAATCCTTACATCTATTTCACTTCTGCTTGTTTTCATTCTGGCTTGTCATCATTTAAATAAAAACTATCGAGACGTATGGCACCTCCCGAAACGAGTGAATTTAATTGTGTTTCACAGAGAAGTGTATCTGACATCCTATCCATCACGACACAAATCACGYCACACTCCAGCATATCGGACGTATGCAGATGACCGTGCACGGTCACTTGAAAACCAATTCTTATTTCCAGTGACGACCTACTCAACATTGCAATATAAAATTATAGTCATTAATACCTTTACAGAAATAGTTTTTGTGGAAGTGGGGTTGTGCACTAGGGCTAAGCTTTTGATTTTTCCCTTACATCACTTTTACTTTTGTATTTTAAGTTGTTTTAGAATCAGTATTTTTACACTTTTGCTTGAGTAAAAAGCTGGAGTGAACACTTCTACTTCCAAAGATGTATTTTTAACCCCAAGTATCTATACTACTTGTTTAATGAATACAGTTGACTCCTCTGTTTATGGCCAAATGTTCAGCAAAATTGTATGAAAGAAGGTAGAATCCTGCAGATAGTTATAAATCCCTGTTACTCCTCTTTGTTTGAGCTCATTGAGGTGTTTAAAGTCAACCACACTCATTCTAGTTAAAGGYTGTCAGAAAGTGTGAACCCAGGAAAACAATTGAACTTGATTCATTTGAGCTGGACTCAAATACACAGTAAAAGAGCATTAGTGTTGCTCTGACACTCAGGGAGGTGTGTGTGCGCGCGCGCGTGCGTTAATAAAGACATGTCCACACACGCACGCAGAGAGAGAGAGAGAGAGAGAGAGAGAGAGAGAGAGAGAGAGAGAGAGAGAGAGAGAGAGACTGATCACGTACCTTCCAGACAGCAGGTCCGCCAGAGGCCGGAGTGCGTCATCACCTCCTCGTTCTTGCGGCTCGTGTCGTTGTCGCCGCTGCTCTTCACGCGGCAGACCCCGCGCGAGTACAGCCAGTAGTCGGTGCCCACGGCGATGGTCATGAGGCTGAAGGCGGCGAACGCGCCCACCGTCGTCACGAGCATCTGGATGCCGCGGTCACACATTAGCATCTTCATAAAGGCGGCTCCTCCTGGGTGCCTTTAATGTCTCCCCCCACCTCCTCCTCCTCCTCCTTCTCCTCCTCTTCTTCTTTTTTTTTTAATATCCCGCGAGATTTGGCAAAGGAGTGGGGGTCAGAGTGAGAAGCTGAGGGAACCGCTCAGAAATATGAATATTTGGAGTTAAAGGCTTTTGTGCGTGTGTGTGTGTGTGTGTGTGTGTGTGTGTGTGTGTGTGTGTGTGTGTGT